AACTTAGAATGTTTCTATTTAGATTATTATATACAATTCTTGCTACCAATAGAATGTTATTTATATGGGGGATACAATCTTCCCAGCTCTGCAGATTTTGCTGCGAAGAGACAGAATCATTAGATCATTTGTTTTGGTATTGTCCATTTGTAGCTTGTTTTTGGACACAGGTCCAGGAATGGCTAAAGGATTGCAATATTTACCTGGAGCTAACCCTGCAGATAGCACTACTGAGTGATCTGAAAAGTCATAGTCAATCGATCAATAATATAATAATACTTTTAGCAAAAATGTTTATTTTCAATTTACAATCTGTAGAAACAATGAGAATAGAAAGGTTCAGAACTTTTGTAAAACATCACAGTAGAGTTGAAAAATATATGGCAAATATAAATCCAATATGGATGGTGTTGAGGTAGATGGGAGGTGTTGAATGGAGCTGAAGGATGGGACTAATACCAACTAACAACAACTAATAACAACAAGATAACTAATGTAAAGCATACTGTGTCCATAATAAGTATATAGGTTATAGGTTGAGAGCTTTTGTGAAAGAGCACAGTTAGAAAAATATGGCATATAGAAGCAAACCAGATGGACAGCATGAAAATGATCGGAGGAAGTTCAGGAGTAAAAACAAACAAAATATAATTATTGTAGAATTTGACTGTGTCCATAAAATGTATATAGTATGTATGGGCTGGAAGTAGAGGCCTTTAACTAGGCAAGTCAGTTAAGAACAAATTCTTATTTACAATGACTATATCGATAGCTCCATGGCTGTTCATGCAGCAGTAGGCAGGGCTGCTCCCCGTGACTGGCCCTCTCCACATTCATCTTGAACACAACCTTCTGCACCTCCGCAGTCCTTACACACAGAGCGTTGCCACACACACACACACACACACACATAAACACACACACACACAGTATATTGGATATGCCTCTGTAGACGGAAAACATTATTTTGGTGAAACCGAATAGTTGAAGTATGGAAGCTTCAGCATTGTGGGGACAAAGGAAGTAGCAAATGCTATCTACAGAATCGAGTTATGTGCACAGCTGCTAGGTTAACCAGAGTCATATATAAATGATGACTTTGGGTTAACGTTAGCTGGCTAGATTACTATTATCATGTAGAGCAGATAACGAGCAGTGAAATTATTATCCGTCTTCCTGTTTAATGTAGGATATCATCTGGCCAAGATATGTGGAGAGGGCCAGTCACGGGGACTAATCGGTGCCCCCGCACATTGACTCTGTACCGGTACCCCCCGTTATATAGCCTCCCTACTGTTATTTTTTTTACTGCTGCTCTTTAATTATTAGTTATTTATATTTTTTACTTATCTATATTTTACACTTTTTTTTCTTAAAACTGCATTGTTGGTTAAGGGCTTGTAAATAAGCATTTCACTGTAAGGTCTACACCTGTTGTATTCGGCACATGTGTCAAATAAAATGTGATTTGATTTGATTTGATATACACAGACCCTCCTGTTAGAAAGATATAGCATTTTAAATGACACTAGTCTACCACAGAGACAAAGATTCTGTTTAGTTAACTTTGGCTGCACATGGTCAATGATCCGTTTATTATTACAGTATTCTTTGTTGTTTGTCTTTCCCTGTTTAGCGCTACAATGTTGGAGGTGAGCTTCAATGTGTTATTCTCTCTGCACTCTCATTTACCTCCCCTATTGGTATGACACATCCATTTTAATGGTGAATTGGTCTTGAGAACACTGGTATCTTAACGTTAAATTGGTATGATATTATTAACATTTTACATCCAAACACGAGTTCTGGCTCGCAGAAACACGAGTTGTTGTGTTGTTTTACCGGCTTCATTGCATAAGATTGATTGCAACACTTTTCTCATCACGAATCTAATATAATCTTTCTATCTCAGTATTTCCAAATCAAGTGTACCAAACATAGTGATGTAAGGCTAGGTCGGAAATCAAATGGCATAAACAAACTCATCTTTGCCCCTATTGATCTGTTTAATATCAATTTATCTTCACCCTTCACCATAAGTTCTACATAACACTAAAATAATGGCATATCAGATGTTATAAACAGTCATGTTGGTGTCAGCTTATAGCAACTAGCTTTACACTGTCAGGGCAAAAGCTGTTATCTAGGTAAGCTATTGGTTAGCAATATGCCTAGCCAGTTTGCTGCTTTGTGCCATTACAGTGGTTATAGGCTTTATTATCATCATAAGCAGTCCCTTATGATGAAGAGTTCAAGCAAAGTTTAAAAATATCTTATTACAGTGTAGGGCACACACACACACACACACACACACACACACACACACACACACACACACACACACACACACTGAGAGACACACACACACTTACTTCTGTGTAATTTCCATTAAGTTATACTGCTTTTCCTGCCCACGTCTGTGTTTCTCAATATGTCTTCGCTCAAATGATGTGCAAATTCACTTGATATGATAGACAGGTGAAATATCACTAGTTGTTAACACAACAAAGAGGCCTAAATGGCAAGTCAAGGCAAGCATGACAGTGTCGAATCTCCATATTCTGCTGGTAGCATCCAGGGGTTATTCAGTTAGAGCCGATTAGAGAGGTTACCCGAGATGGCATGCTGTTACTAGACTAGACATTTTGAAATTACTGTTCATACACTTTTAGAACCTAAAAGAACCTAAACTCTTATAACTCTTAGAACCTCCTCTATCTAGAACCTAAATGGGTTATTTGGCTGTTCCTATAGGAGAACCCTTTGAAAAACCATTTTGGGTTCCATGTAGAACCCTTTCTACAGAGGGTTCTACATGGAACCCAAAATAGTTCTACCTGGAACCAAAAAGGGTTATCCTATGGGGACAGCTGAATAACCCTTTTTTCTAAGAGTGTAGGCCGTATGTACATTACAAAATTCAAAACGTTTTCAAAATGTAATGCCAACACATATCATAATGGTTTTGGACCATGCATACAAGTCAAATATCCTCAATGCGTTGTCATGTCTTCAATTCATCTGATTGTTTATGACTCGATCTTCACATGATAGCATGCCTGACACTGTGTCACTCTTGAACAGTTATGCAGAGTGAAAAACAAAGGTACGGTAACACCTTGAGCAATTATTAACTTGGCAGCATTTGGTTTGAGTGTATCACCTTACTAATCTGCTCCAGTGTCAACCCGGCGTCTCTACTTAGCAAGCCAACGTTTGACAAATAGAGACAGGCTAAAATCTGCATGTAAATAATATATAATAACATACTGTATATAATAAGGATTTAAGCGATAGCACAATAGGTTTCTACCCCCACCCATGTTGCAGCCTCGTGTTACAGTGTTGGTTTTCATCCTTCCCCCCTAATCAGGGCCTGATTCAGCCTGCGACACCAGGTTAGTGTACCCGCTGGCCAAGGTGAGTGGACCATCTCCTCAATCAATTACAGCAATATTATGAAACGGTAACCACAACATTGTGCCATGGTGCCTGAAGTAACAAACCTAAGTCTTTGTGTGCAGTATAGGCCTCCACTCCTAAGAGGAGGGAAGAGGTTGTGTGTGGTTAGTGTGCGCCATCAGCAAACATCATAATGCATATGCTTATTCTACAGTCAATAAGTCTAAAACACATTGTAATAGGATTTTTGATTGTCACATTGGAGATTTCAAAGCAAAATCTCTGAACCAAAATCGAAATATAAGTACACCACTGAGCAATTTACTGTAAATCAGTATATGAACAAAGGTGTCTTGAGAAAGCTTTCTTCTTGCATATGTGGGGTGAATACATACGGCAGAAGAAAATTCTGCTGACAATAGAAAAAGTAATTTCCTATGACTCATTCATTGTATACTGGACAGGTACATTCACAATTTCATAAATGACTAAAATCCCTGAAGTTTAATCAGTCTTTATGCATTCTGCAGGTTTGCACTGGCAAGAGGGGGTAAAACACCCAAATGAATACTATAGAGCATCACCCTGCTTTGCAAACTGATTTCATGCACGTCACTTGTGGTTTAACTGAATTCTTCAAAAGCCTCTGCAGAGCAGACCGTTGCCAGACAGTTCCCTAAAGCAACTTAGTGAGAAGGAAGCGACCAACAAGCATTTTGAATTCAGGCGCCTGATTGACATCTCACTCACAATAGCAGAGAATGACAGTAAGTCGAATTGTCTGAAAAGCTGGTCTCATGCAGTGTTCTCAAGTGTATCAATAACGCCATGTATTACTATAAAGTATGCACTTTATGGTGTTGTAATATTTCTGTCTGACTTTGTCTCTTTACATTATGCTCAGAAATAGATTAGCCACGACAGGATGTTTGTTTGCTTGATATTTAGATACTTCATTGTCGTCCGATTGGACAATTATTTCTGAATGATGTGCAATCAAAATGATCAAAATGCTAAGTGAGGACATTTCTAAATGTCTTGACACATTGTTTTGTGGTAGTTCCATCAGATTGTTTTGTGGTAGTTCCATCACTTGACTGCAAGTGATAAGGCATGGTAAAACAAGGAGGTCGTGTTCTTGCCTAACTATGTGCAATGATATGCAAGTCTAGACATAATATGGAATTTGTGAAACATTGACTATCTACAAGCAGGAGACTGAGAGAAAATAAGCATTACATTACTAAATAGGCCTGCCAATATTACACAATGACATATTCTGTATAGCTGTGTATTATTTTCATGTTGTTTTCCTCTTCCTTCTCTTTTCAGATGCCAGTTATAGGTGGCATGGTGACTTCACTAATGGATTCAGAGGTAAACAACTTATACATTTTTTTACAATTTGTATAAAAGATTGTCTGTGTTATATTTGTGTGAAATAGCTATTTGTATTATTTTAATTCATAACCGTTTCAAGTGTTCAATTACATACATATATTGTATTTTTTGTCGCTCTTATGAAAGAAAATATTAGAGAGCCATGGTCTACATACTGTGTATTCAGCTCATATCATTTACTCGCACAATTGGTCCACATGTCCAACAAGCTACAGTATGCTGTCCTGTCTCACACACAGGTGTATGACTATGACTCCAGCTTCACCCCCACGGCTGGTGAGGACAATCTGGACGGCTTTATGTGCGACAAATATGCCGTCAGGGAATTCCGAGGCCAGTACGAACCGCCTCTCTACTGGACCATCATCATCCTGGGCGGCCTGGGCAACCTGACCGTAGTTTGGATCTACCTCCACTTCCGCCAGCGTCTCAAGACCATGACCGATGTCTACCTGTTGAACCTAGCTGTGGCCGACCTCTTCTTCCTGGGCACTCTGCCCTTCTGGGCCGTGGAGGCCACCCAGGGATGGAGCTTCGGCACGGGCCTCTGCAAGGTCACCTCGGCCCTTTACAAGATCAACTTCTTCAGCAGCATGCTACTGCTCACCTGCATCAGCGTCGATCGCTACGTGGTCATCGTCCAGCCCACCATGGCCCAGAACTCCAAGAGACAGCGGCTGAGCTGCAGCAAGTTGGTGTGTGCCTGCGTCTGGCTACTGGCCGTGGTGTTGGCCCTGCCCGAGTTCACGTTCGCCAACGTCAAGGAGCTGGAGGGCCAGAGCTACTGCACCATGGTTTACTGGAGCAACGAGAACAACCGTACTAAGATCCTGGTCCTGGCGCTTCAGATCTGCATGGGCTTCTGCCTGCCCCTGCTGGTCATTGTGTTCTGCTATGCCGGCATCATCCGCACCCTTCTCAAAACCCGCAGCTTCCAGAAGCACAAGGCGTTGCGCGTGATCCTGGTGGTGGTGGCTGTGTTTGTCCTCTCCCAGTTGCCGTACAACAGCGTGCTGGTGATGGAGGCCACCCAGGCAGCCAACAGCACCGAGACGGACTGCGATGCGGCAAAGCGTTTCGACGTGGTCGGCCAGGTGCTGAAGAGTCTGGCCTACACGCACGCCTGCCTCAACCCCTTCCTGTATGTGTTTGTGGGCGTACGCTTCCGCAGAGACGTCCTCAAGCTTCTCCGCATCTACCACTGTTGGCCGGCCAAGGGGAAACTCGGCAAGATCCAGGGAGGCCCCGGGCGCTCATCAGTCATGTCGGACACGGACACCACACAGGCGCTCTCGCTTTGAAGGGCACGGTCATAGTACAACCTTTCACTTGCGACCAGAAGTCCCTCTTAACAATTGGGGTCTGTGCAAACTTGTTCGCGTACATACGCTCTATTCCATGATGCAGAAGTTGTAGTGTTTTTTTCCCCCGGTTGCCCACTCTTGAATCAGACTTTGACTTCTTTGGTTATCGGACCATGGCTGAGGCTGAGGCAGTGACATGGGGAAGGAAGAGGTCCCTTTCTGAGAGCTGGGGGAATGTCGAGGAAGACCTCTTGGCTCTTTGGGGAATTGCTATAAGTGTTGGTCATGATAAGACTCTTAAATTGGCTGGTCCAAACACCCTTTTCATTTTTGCTGGTGTCCACAAAGGATGGACAATCACAGTCTGGTGTGGTTGGGGATTTGTGTTTGACGATGCCAGGGATGGGAAAAGAGCTAACCATGACAGCATTGGTCCTGTACTGGTCTAATGCATTTGCATTGGTCTTTAATGTTCTGCCAATTCAGCCATGTTGTTGTTGTGTCTTTTTTTGCATTTGTTTAGAAAGCAGAGAGATGGGAAAGAGAAGAAGACCCCTCTTTTCTTTGCAATGATGGATTCTGTGACAGCATGGGCAGCACCATTGTGGGCTATCTCCATTTTAAAGTAGTCCATTTTTCTTCTTCTACTTCTGGGTTTATTACATTTAACATTTTACATTTTAGTCATTTAGCAGACGCTCTTATCCAGAGCGACTTACAGTTAGTGAATACATTTTAAAAATATATATATATACTGGCCCCCCGTGGGAATCGAACCCACAACCCTGGCGTTGCAAACGCCATGCTCTATCAACTGAGCTACATCCCTGCCGGCCATTCCCTCCCCTACCCTGGATGACGCTGGGCCAATTGTGCGCCGCCCATGAGTCTCCCGGTCGCGGCCGGCTGCGACAGAGCCTGGATTCGAACCAGGATCTCTAGTGGCACAGTTAGCACTGCGATGCGGCGCCTTAGACCACTATTGACAGTTTGTAAACAAACTGAAAAGGTGCATACCATCACTGGATTGTGTATAGTCTGAAAAGGTGTAAAGTGCTGCCCATACTTAGACAGCTTTGTGGCAAGTGTACCCTCTATCCATCTCTATGTTATAAAGTTTGTTTTCTATATTAGCCAGTCATTACGATCTACTATGGATATTATTTTTTGTATCAATTTCTTTGTTAGGAGCATATCAATGAACTGATCAATTCTTTGAAATACTTTCTAAGTAGGAAAGCCCTTATTTGTGATGAGTATGTTTAGCTTTCACAGTGAGAGTGAAAAAGTGTCATAAACAAAAACGTTGTATAAAATGCCTATGATTGAGACTGCCCTGTTCACAATGACAATTATCATCAAAAATGTAGGTCACTGTTGTTGAATTTGAATAAATATTTTCAGTTACAAGTGTCTCATAAATGTGCATTAAGAAATAAACATATATATAGTCACTCACAAATGCACAAATACACGGACACATGCACAGACACACTTCCCACCAACAGATTGTTTTGTTGCTGTCGAAAAATATTACATAACATTGAATGTTATTTTTTATGTTGTCATTTCATAGCTGTCTTGTGGCAAATTCAGAAGTCACAGTACAATACAGTACAATACAGTACAATACAGAACGCATCGTGGTCAGAAGGAAGTTGTGCACAGCTGTGACTACGTATTGTGGGGCTATAGGCCTTCTATGGTTTACCATTCATGCTCTTTACTTGACGTTATCTTCATGATTGTTGATAATTTCTGTCATCATCAGTCAGTTTACAAGAACCAAACCTGCACATATAGTATATCACTCTATATCTGTAACTCTTATCCGTTTGCAAAGCGTAATGGCACATACAGGGCTATATCGCAGAAGGGGCTGGTGCTGGAGGCCTACTCATATGTGGTAGCTCATTGTCTCCATCTAGTGGCCAAATAGGGAAGCAGCACGATTTATTTCCTACCAGATGAAGAAAAATACAAGTTGCTCAAAATGAGTCAATAAGTCATAGCTTGTTTGAGCAAAATGTATTTAGGCTAATTGGTAAAACGATCAAAATTATTTAATACCCAAAACTGTGCTTGGTTTTCCATCTAAATGAGAGTGACCTAGCTACAATCAATACCTTAAAAACAAAAAAAACATTATCTCAGCCTGCTGTACTTTTGTACACAAGGGGGCACTCCAAAGCTTCCAAGTACTAAAACAGCCAAAGATTAGAAGGTCAAGATTTCTATAGATACAGTATCTCCAAATATTACTATGTCACCGCTTTAATGAAATCATAAAGGAGGAGGATTCGGAGACTATAGAACAATATGAATATCTGCTTATAAAGTTTTTACATTTTAGTCATTTAGCAGACGCTCTTATCCAGAGCGACATACAGTTAGTGAGTGCATACATTTTTCATACTGGCCCCCCGTGGGAAACGAACCAATACCAACTGAGCTACAGAAACATGCAGCAAAACTCTCCAGACTATACAATGGCTTCTTAAAGTCTAAATCTAAAAATACACTATACATAAAGGAGAAATGGGAAAGGGAGGCCATTTCTGTGGAGTGGGAAACCTTATGCCAATCACAATGGAAATCAACAAGCTCATTGACTTTGGTTCTTTATCACTCCTCTGCAGAAAAGACATCAGGGTAATAGAACGGAGTGTTGGAGCAACATTAACCACATATTTTGTAATAACATCCTCCTGTTCAACTGTTAATAGTTACTGTAAAAGGGGGACATTTTAAAAAATCGGGATATACAGAATTATTAATTCCTTTGATATTTTTGACTCACTGATTGTTTCAACTTTTAGTGTGCTCTTTAACTCTATACTTTTCATTGTCGACATCTTGCATATTCTCACTTTTAATTATGGTGGCAACTATGTACATTGTATGAATGGACTTGCTAGTGGGTCGTGACCTTGAGGGCTGCATTGCATGACTAGACTTGCTTCTGAACTATTGCCGAACTATGGATAGGTGTGAGAGAAGTCTCAATGATAATGTAAAAATGTAATGTGTGTCTGAACCTTGCTTTTCCCAAATAAAAACAGAATAAAAACAAATACAAATATTCTTATAGCAACTCCTTTATTGGCTATGATACATTTACTTCAGGTGTACAAACTTCACCACATCTATCACAAGCTTGTGTGAACCAGGGCCCATATTCATAAAGTGCCTCAGCATAGCAGATCTGGGTTCATGTATTTCAATTACTTTTCAATATATTTTAAAACAAGTATTAAGATAACCTTTATTTGAAAAAAGTAAGTAGATGAATATAGAGTACCACAGTATGAGTCATAATACCTATAAAACCTAGCGGTCAAACAAGGAGGGATTTGTTGTCCTGCGTGACGTCTACTTTGATGCTAATCAGCATTTTCGAATCTGAAAGTAAATGGAGCTGAATATATTGATAAAAGTCACCTTGTCCGAGAGAGATTTACATGGTTATCAAAACGTCAAGCCAGGGTAAGCCTACACGAAACACAGCCCTTATTTTAAGGGTTTCTAAAATTCCCTATGGTAAAAATAAATGGAGGAAAAACGATTGGAACCATTTCCCTCTTTGAACACTAGGTTTTATGGGTATTATGACACCTCCACTGTGGGGCTCTATTTGAATCTATTTCTAAATGCCAATTAGAAAGTATTGGCATGTATTTACAATTACTTCAAATACATATCGTTGGAAGTATTTGAAAAACAGTATTTTCTAATAAATATTTGAATTATTTGGATGTATTTGAAAATAGTTGTGAATGTACTTAGTAGTTTCATTTGAAATAACAAACAACTTAACATGGAAACGCCTTATTTCACTTAAACAGTAGCTATAAAAAGAGATTGAGCAGGCTGCATAGATTTCATGACAAGAAGCTCAGAAGACAAAAACTCAGTCATTTATTTGCTGTCGTAAATGTTAGCAACACCTTCGCAGGATGCGCATCAAGATTATGATCAGTTAATTGACTATGACTGCCTTGGAAGTGAGGGATCTAACATTAAGTAGTCCTATTTTGAGATGTGAGATATTGTCACAATCTCTTTCAATAATGACAGGAATGGAGGTCTTTATTCCAGTGAGATTGCTAAAGTGGTCCTCTGTAGCTCAGCTGGTAGAGCACGGCGCTTGTAACGCCAAGGTAGTGGGTTTGATCCCCGGGACCACCCATACACAAACATTTATGCACGCACGACTGTAAGTCGCTTTGGATAAAAGTGTCTGCTAAATGGCATATTATTATTATTATTATTATAAAGTGAACACAGCCATGTTTAGTTTAGTTTTGCCCGACATAGATCGAGGCAAAGACACGGTCTCAATGGAGAAAACTGAGCTGACTATACTGACTGTGCTAGTGGCAGACTCCACTAAGCTGGCAGGCTGGCTAATAGGGTGCAGGCCAGGCAGCAGGCTATCTCATTGTGGAGCTAGAGGAGAGAGTCCTGTCTATGTTGATAGATAAGATGAGAGCACCCCTCCAGCTAGGATGGAGTCCGTCACTCCTCAGCAGGCCAGGCTTCGTCCTGTTTGTGGGTCCCAGAAAGAGGACCAGTTATCTACAAATTATATATTTTGGGAGGGGCAGAAAACAGTTTTCAACAAGCGATTGAGTTGTGCGAGTCTGCTGTAGAGCTCGTCACTCCTCCTAACTGGGAGGGGGCCAGAGACAATTACTCGATGTCAACAGCCTCAGCCAGCACCATCTTCAGATTAGCCTTTATGTCGGTAGCCCTGCCCCCTGGTAAACAATGTATGATCGCAGGATGATTATTTTTATGTCTAATATTGCGGGTAATGGAGTTGCCAATGATTAGGATTTTCAATTTGTCAGAGCTAATGGTGGGAGGCTTCGGCGGTTCAGACCCTGTAACGGGTGGAGAAGAGACTTGCCTTAAGTAACCTTCTATCTTATGTAACCATACCAAATGTAACATATCATACTAATTTGATTGGCCCGATTAACGTTAACTATGTT